GTGCTGGAAGCATGTGTTCCCATTAGATACTTGGTGAGGAGGGCAAGGGAAATACACACGTGTGGCCACCTTACTTCCACCAAGATTTTTTCTTCTTTGTTAATGAGTTCGGAACTTGATGTAACTTACAGCTATAATCCACAGCCCACCCTATTTTTACATATATAGAGAGGCATTATGAAGTGATCAGTACCAAGGACAGCCACGTCTCCCATTCAAGCAATTCCTACCAAGGCTTCGGCGGTAAGAGATGGCGTCAGTCATAACTCTTGGAATTAGGAGCAATAGAAAGCTATGACAAACTTACTTGTATACATTAAGTCAGGGTTTATTTACTCATGGATGTCCAAAGCAATGTTTCAGATTGGGGTGATTCACAGTTCAAAGTATATTGACAGGACGTTTTGTTCCCCTTGGTCTTAATCATTTGTTTTGCCTTTCTCTTGTCTCAATCAAGCTTCTCTTGAATTAAAGCCAAGATGTCTCTGGCAGTTCTGAACTTATATGGGGCTATAAGCACCCATAATCTTAGTAAGAAGGAGTCCCTGAACCCTTATCCATCCCTGACAAAGCTTTCTGATTGGTGCTGGGTCAAGGACTACGAGGCCAAATCATATGCCCAACCTGTGTGCCTGGTGAGGTGGAATTAGGTGATGGACAGCGTCACTTATGCAAGAGGCACGTGCTACTTCCATTAGAGAAGCAGCAGGAGTGGTCTATCGGGCAGGTATGACAGAATATCTAGTAAAGAGAGAAACATAGACATTGCTCCTTTGGAGGAAAAGGGATGGAATACCAATGTGCTCTTTTATACACTTCTTCATATGTAATGAAAAATAATTAACATAGTAATCCAGACTTCTAGACACTCTTCAAACACTGAATTTACATTTAATGCCCCTTTACAATACTTTAAGTTATGGAGTTGCCTAACTTCTAAAGATTGGTTACTCGAATTGTTAACATTTCCTGAATACTGATTGCGTGCCAGGTGTTTTGCTAGATACTTTACATCTGTTATTGAGGCCTCACAACACTCTATTAAGTATTATCATGTGTTTTACAGATGAAAATATTGAGGTGCAGAAAAAGTAGCAATTTGGCTAATGTCATACAACTAGAAGTGATAAAATGTGATTGAAGTCCAGATTTGCCTGGATTGAAAGCCCATAGTCGTCTTTGTATTTCTTCCTTAGTCAAATCCATTTGCTCACATGGATTTGAGCTGCCTAAGTGTGATGGAGGGAAAAAGTAACGTAAGTTGGCAACCTACTAGAGAGTGGTCAGTATTCTCAGTATGCTTTTTGCCTTAAAATTAGTTAGAAAAATACTTCAAAAATATAAAAGGGAGAATTCGATAAATAACAACTAAAAATACAAATTACTTTAAACTTACGAAAAAACATTTGTGCTTACTGGTTATCAAAGGGATAAAAGTAAAAACACCCATCTACCTGGCCAGCTCTTTCTCTCTCTCCAAACAAGTCCCTCTAGCCCCTGTTTCCCACCTGTCCTCTCCAGCCCTGCAGCAGGCATACACAAATTGAAAGAGGCTAGGAATGGTGGCTCACGCCTGTAATCCCAGCACTTTGGGAGGCCAAGGCAGGGAGATGACTTGAGCCCAGGAGTTTAAGACCAGCCAGGGCAACATAGTGAAACCTTGTCTCTACAAAAAAATACAAAAATTAGCCAGGCGAAAGAGATCCAAGATGGCTGATCACTAACAGCTCAGGATTGTAGCTCCCAGTGAAAGCTCAGAGAACGAGAGGACGCCACAGTTTCAGACGAATTTTCATCGCTCATGGACCAGCAGATTTCTAGTGGAGGAGCCCCGTGGGTCGCCAGCGTGACTCTTGTGGCTGGCGCAGAGGTTTTGCCGGCGCCTTGGCGCGGCAGCTGTTCATGCAGAGTAAACGGGACTGGTTCCCTTACTGACCGGTGTTTGGAGCTCCGGGAAGGCAGAGCTGCTTGTTGCGGACTCAAGAAGGAAGCCAGACCAGAGATTCCCGGGCAGAAGAGCACCATCAGTCTTATCACTGCTATTTTGGCCGGCGCAGTGGGTTGCTTCAATCCCAGCACTGGGAATCAATAAATTGGACGTCGACTCAGAAACCTAATTAGAAAGGTGGTAATTGTAAAGATGACAGATGGACAAATTTATAATAAAGGGAAAAAACCAGCCTAAGAAGGCTGAGCATACCCAAAATCAGAACCCCTCTCCCTCTACAGGGGATTGCAGTTCCTCATCAGCAACAGAACAAGCACTGATGGAAAAGGACTGTGTTCCATTATCTGAAGTAGGCTTCAGAAGGTGGATGATAAGAAACTTCTGGGAATTAAAAGAACTTGTTCTAACCCAATGCAAAGAAACTAAGAACTTTGAAAAAAGGTTTGACGAAATGCTGAAAAGAATAGACAATATAGAGAGGAATATAAGTGAACTAACGGAGTTGAAAAATACAACATGAGAACTTAGTGAAATATGCAGAAGTTTAAATAGCAGAATGGATCAAGCAGAAGAAAGGATATCAGAGGTCGAAGACCAACTTAATGAAATAAAACGACAAGACAAGAATAGAGAAAAAAGGATGAAAAGGAATGAGCAAAGTCTCCAAGAAATATGGGACTATGTGAAAAGACCCAATCTACGTTTGATTGGTGTACCTGAATGGGATGGAGAGAATGAATCCAAGCTGGAAAATACTTTTCAGGATATTATCCAGGAAAATTTTCCCAATCTAGCAAAGCAGGACACTATTCAACCCCAGGTAATACAGAGAACACCACAAAGATATTCCTCAAGAAGAGCAACCCCAAGGCACATAATCGTTAGGTTCACCAGGATCGAAACGAAGGAGAAAATACTAAGGGCAGCCAGAGAGAAAGGCCAGGTTATCCATAAAGGGAAGCCTATTAGACTTACAGCAGATCTCTCAGCGGAAACCCTACAAGCCAGAAGAGAGTGGGGGCCAATATTCAACATACTTAAAGTACAGAACTTCCAGCCTAGAATCTCATATCCTGCCAAACTAAGCTTCACAATTGAAGGAAAAATAAAATCTTTTATGAACAAGCAAGTACTCAGAGATTTTATTACCACCAGGCCTGCTTTACAAGAACTTCTGAAAGAAGCATTATACATAGAAAGGAACAACCAGTATGAGCCTTTCTAAAAATATACCAAAAAGTAAAGAGCATCAACATAAAGAAGAATTTACATCAATGAATGGATAAAATAGCCAGTTAACATCAAATGGCAGTAAACCTAAATTTAAATCGACTAAATCCCCCAATCAAAAGATACAGCCAAAACCTAACGGTATATCCAAAGATACACAAAGACTCAAAACAAAGGGTTGGAGAAAAATTTACCAACCAATGGAGAGCAAAAATAAATAAATAAACAAAAAGCAGGAGTTGCAATTCTCACATTTGATAAAATAGATTTCAAAGCAACAAAGATACAGTGGTAAAAGGATCAATGCAACAATAAGAGATCTTAATACCCAGATACATAAGACCCATAACGAGATTTAGACTCAACGAGACAGAAAATTAATAAGGATATCCAGGACTTCAACTCAGATCTGGAACAAGTAAACTCAATAAATATTTATAGAGTTCTCCATTTTAAATACACAAAATATTGATCGGCCATTATTAATACCCATTTTTAAAATGAAGCAATATTCCTGTTCTCTCTCCCTCTTTTTCTTCCTCTCCTTCTCTCCTTTTTTTACTTTTCAACATCCTAGTTCCTCACCTCTACTCAATACATTCCTCTGAACACCTGATTCCTTGTGATTCTCCCATCCCACTGAAAAAAAAAAAAAGAAAAAAAATTAGCCAGGCATGGTAGTACATGCCAGTAGTCCCAGCTGCTAGAGAGGATGAGGTGGGAGAGTTGCTTGGACCCTGGAGGCAGAGGCTGCAATGAGCTGTGATCATGCCACTGCACTGCAGTCTGCGCGACAGAGCCAGATCCTGTCTCCAAAAAAAGAAAAGAAAGAAAGAAAGAAAGAACAATGAGAGGTCAGACTTGGAGTATGAAAGAGACATTTCCTATTTTTTTTTTTTTTTGGAGATGGAGTTTTGCTCTTGTTGCCCAAGCTGGAGTGCAATGGTGCCATCTCGGCTCACTGCAATCTCCACTTCCCGGGTTCAAGTGATTCTCCTGCCTCAGCCTCCCAAAAAGCTGGGATTACAGGCACGCACCATCACACCTGGCTAATTTTTCTGTATTTTTAGTAGAAACAGGGTTTCACCATGTTAGCCAGGCTGGTCTGGAACTCCTGACCTCAGGTGGTCCACCTGCTTTGGCCTTCCAAAGTGCTGGGATTACAGGTGTGAGCCACCGCGCCCAGCCATGATTTTTCTTTTTCCCTCCCATCCTGTGAAGAACAGTTGTCCAGCTTCATGACTGAAATGGGTGAAATGGGTGATATCCTACAGGCACTGCTAAAGGTGTATTTTGGGGCCCTTTCAGACCTGTTTTCGGTCAGACATAGCATGGAAAGATTATTGGTTGCATTTTCATCAAGTTACAGTAATGTGGTATATAAAAAATATTCCTCCTAAATTCTGGAAAGAGATTGACAGTAAATACTAGCTTTTGGTAGAGTGATTTTTTTTTCTTTTTTGAGACAGAGTCTTGTTTTCTTTGTTTCCCTGGAGGGCAATGGTGCAATCTCGGCTCACTGCAACCCCACCTCTCGGGTTCAAGCAATTCTCTTGACTTATCCTCCCAAGTAGCTGGAATTACAGGCACCTACCACCATGTCTGGCTAATTTTTGTATTTTTAGTGGAGATGGGGTTTCATCATGTTGGCCAGGCTGGTCTCAAACTCCTGACCTCAGGTGATCCGACTGCCTCAGCCTCCCAAAGTGCTGGGATTACAGGAGTGAGCCACTGTGCCTGGCAAATAGTGTGAGTTTTTAAATATGATTTTTAAAATGTGATCAGACATTTTAGTGAGAGTTTGAGAGACTTGACACGGAGATTGTGATCAACATCTTTTAAAACATGTGGTTCATCTTTAAAAACATTGTGAAAGTCCATTCTTTCCCATTTAGTCTCATTGCCATCAGCAACTGTTCATCATTTCAAGTAGAGATTATTTTTACTGCCACATAGCTAGTACTTGATGCTTCCTGTCTTCCTAATTCAATTCATAGCACGTCACTACCTAAAACATGATCAAAAGTCCAGTAGCTGCCCAGTTTGCCCATCAGATGAAATCCAACTTCATCCAGCTACTCAAGATTCTTCACTCTGTAACCTTTTCCTCCTGCTCTGCCACCTTCTACTACTTTCTAAAGATTAACCTTCTCATCTGGCTAGTCTCATGGTCCCTGTAACTTATCTGTCAGGACTCTAAGCCTCTATTTAGGCTCTATACTCCCCTCTTCTCTGTTTATCCAGTCCTAAATGGCATTCAAAGTTAAGCTCAGGTGCTACCTTTCCTTGGGCTCAAAATTCTCCTCCCCATTGTAGCTTTGTCACTCTAAAAAACCTTCACCATTTGTGCATTTCCTGGAGGTTAATGTGCAAACTCCTTCTCTTGGCATACAACATGGCCCCATTCTCTTTCTGGTGTAATTCTTACAAACTATTATATATGCTTGACCTCTAGACACACCAAATCTCTCTCTGATTCTCAATCCTGCCCTGTACTTTCAGCTGCTCCTTTCTCTCTCTTTCTGTACATGATCTGTTTGCCAGATTTGACTTGTCTCAGCCTGACAAACTCTCATATAATATATCCTACAAGAACCATTTCAAACACTATCTTCTCTGTGAAGCCTCGCTGACCTCCCCCAGGTGCAGCACTCCACTCCACAGTACCTTGAACCTAAATCTCTGACACACGTTTTACTGTATTGCAATTCTTTATCTATATATTTATCATCAATACTTAATGTGAGCCAATTGCTTCACAGTATCTAGCAGGGTACTGTTTATATAGCGGTTACTCAATAAATGTTGTTGTTGGGAGGCTGAGGCAGGAGGATCCCTTGAGGCCTGGAGCTTGAGACCAGCCTGGGCAATGCTGCAAGACTCCTTCGCTACAAAAACAAAAACATGGCGGCACAGTGGCTCACACCTATAATCCCAGCACTTCGGGAGGCTAAGGCGTGTGGATCGCCTGAGATCAGGAGTTCAAGACCAGCCTGGGCAACATGGTGAAATCCCATCTCTACTAAAAATACAAAAATTAGCTGAGTGTAGTGGCTAAATACAAATCCCAGATATTCAGGAGGCTGAAGCAGGAGAATCACTGGAGCCTGGGAGGTGGAGGTTGCAGTGAGCTGAGATTGCACCATTGCATACCAGCCTAGGTGACAGAGCAAGGATCCATCTCAACCCCCCCCCCCAAAAAACTCCCCAAAACTAAAACAAAAAAAACCCCACAAAAATTAACCAGGCACAGTGGTGCATATCTGTAGTCTGAGCTACTAGGGAGGCTACAGCAGGAGGATCACTTGGGCCCAGGAGTTTGAGGTTGCAGTGATCTATGATAGTGCCACTGCACTCCAGCCTGGGCAACAGAGTGAGGTGGTATCTCTAAAAAAATAAAACTAAGCAAAAAATGTTGTTGAATGCTCTAACTTGTGTCAATCTCTCCATTGTCTTAATTCCAAGAGCTCTTAGTGCTTCTATCAGTCATTTTGCAAAACTGTCTCACATTGTTCTCCCATTCTTTCAGGTGCTACTGAGTTCCAGTGAGATTAAATGGAGATGTCTTGACCAAGGCATTTAATTCTTCCAGCCTCAGTTTCTGCATCTGTAAAATGGAGGACAATAAGAGTATCTCAATCAAAGCATTTTTATGTGGAGCATGAAGCATTTTCATAATTCACTGAAATCTTCAGCACAATGCCTGATGTATAGGATGTGCTCAAAGTGGGAAAAGCATTTTATAAACTTACATCCTAAATTTATGCTATGAGGATTAAATGAGAAGATACACATGAAACCATGTCATAATGTATTGTGTAAACATTTATTACCTTTATTTTCACTGTCTCCTCATCTAGGTTAGAAGCTTGGTTCATTCAGCCCTGTTTCCTCAAGTTCAAGTCCTTCCGCTGGATGCTCGAAGTCTTCCTTACCTAGTTTTGTCTGTCTTTTATGGCCTCCTCTCTATCACTCTGTTCTCAGCACCCATCACAGGGTTAGGCGCAGGGTAGGTGCTCTGTATTTCCACAGTAGCAGCTCTAGAATTAGCAAGGTCTTTAGCGGAAAGCGAGGTCTTCCGCATTCTTTTTGTTTGATGTTTGCTTTGTATGACTTGTCTCAAACATTTTGCCTTTGTCAATTCACCCGTGACGTTTTGGGGATGCAGTCTAATTATATTAGGCTGAGTTTGCTTTGTGGTAGGACCGTTTCCGATGCTGGAATGTATGAGAGGGAGGCAGCCTTAGCTAGTGTCCTACTTTTTCCTTTACTAAAGACATAAATTATCTTTATATAACTTTTGTATTACAGCATGACTGGAAAAGTGCTTGATCTGGATCCTTTCTGATCTTTGAGTAACTTCCGTCTGTCATTAAGGCATGAATTTTTTCCTTAGAATGTAGGAAGCGGTAATCAAACACAGAAACAACCACCACCAAAAGCACAAGGGATAGGCCGGGCGCGGTGGCTCACGCCTGTAATCCTAGCACTTTGGGAGGCCGAGGCGGGTGGATCACGAGGTCAAGAGATCGAGACCATCCTGGTCAACATGGTGAAACCCCGTCTCTACTAAAGATACAAAAAATTAGCTGGGCATGGTGGCGCGTGCCTGTAATCCCAGCTACTCAGGAGGCTGAGGCAGGAGAATTGCCTGAACCCAGGAGGCGGAGGTTGCGGTGAGCCGAGATCGCGCCATTGCACTCCAGCCTGGGTAACAAGAGCGAAGCTCCGTCTCAAAAAAAAAAAAAAAAAAAAAAAAAAAAAAAAAAAAAAAGCACAAGGGATGAAGCTTTCACGTACCGTTTGGAAACACTAGTGTGGGTACAATGAGTCATGGTAGTTGTGAAAGTGCCCGTCATTCGGGCACGTTTTCTCCATTTCCGAAATCTGCAGCTGAGTTACTGGGCCCTTAACTCAGAAACGAAGCCTTGGTGAAGAGCCGCCGACAGAGGCTCCCGCAGTCCTTGGCGTTCCCCCAGCTCCTGAGTGGGATCGCAGGACCACAGCCGGGTGCAGGCCCGGTGAACCCAGGTGAACCGTCTCAGGGACTGCGAGGCGTGCGGGACCCCAGAGCAGCAGCTCGGAGCGGCCGCCCCGGGACGGTGCCGGCTTCTGGGGCTGCAGCTCCGCGGGCTCCTTCCGGCCGGGCCGGGCCAAGGCTACTGAGTCGGCCGCGCCGGGGGAAGGAGTTTCCGGCGGACTCGGCTGGGTGCCGCTTCCTGTCCCTTTCTCCCCCCGCCGCCTCCCGCTGTCTGCCCGGGACGCAGCTCGACCCCGGGCCCCCTCGCCACCTCCGGTAGCACCCCCGGCCCCATGCAGTCCCGGCTCCTTCTCCTCAGGGCACCCGGAGGCCTCGGCGGCCCGGCCTCGCGGCGCGTGCGGCTGCTCCTGCGGCAGGTGGTGCGGCGCGGGCCGGGTGGCGACTGGCGGCGGCCGGAGGTCAGACTGCTGCACGCCGGCGCGGGGGCCGACACAGGTAACCCGGGGTGCACCCCTGTCCTCCCTGGTGCCCCTGCGCTCCGGGCCAGGCCCCCCACGCAGCCGCCCCTCCTCTCTGTTGCTTCTCTGCACTTGGACCGCTAGCTTGAGCGGGGAGCTGCAAGGTCGACTTTCTAGTCCCGGCCTCGGTGCTAACTGCTGTGTGACGTGGGCAAGGCGCTCGCACTCTCTGGGCCTCATTCTGCAACCCGAAGAGTCTGCACTAAGATTTCTGATGACTTAGGATGGTGATTTCTCGTTCCTCTGCCGCAGCTTTTACCCCCCGAGTTCCGACTTCGGTTATAATACTCGTAGAGGTTAATGCCGCAGCCCGCTGGAATTGTTGAGAGCTGGACTTGACCTTGCCCTCTGAGCCTCAAGGGCCTGGAAGCCGGTTTGTGTCACATTCTAGCCAGGGCTTGTGGCGGCTTAGAAGGGAACTTTCTCGCCAAAGAACCCGTAGTTCACGGTGTTTTAAATGCATCCCCGAGCCTTTCCACGTTTTACAGGAGTTTTCCTTCCTTAAAGTTTCACGTAATTCTTACAGCTGACAGTTACACCTTAATTTAGTTACAACCTTTGCCTCTACCATTGAGGTAATTGAAACCCAGGAGAGAAGTGATTTGCTGAACACACAACTAACTAGTCACTATGCTAGAATCACATGCTTTGATGTTCTAAGCTCAGTATTTTTTTGCTCCACTTGAGCTGGTTTTAGGAATTCTTTTTCTTGTGTATTGGTGGACTGAGAGTTACTGTGATCGTTAAGGAAAGGATGTCTGTTGTTGCTGCCCTTGAATGGTCAAGTGATTCTGGACAAGACTTTGTCAATGTCAGTGCTGCTTAGAATAACAGGTTTTCACTATAAAATTGTAGGTTTCATTGTCCTCTTGCATTCTCCCCACAACCCTCAGTTTTCCTAGCTAAGAAATGAGCATATTTAGGTCCTATGTATTTCATTTCATTCATTCAACACATACGTGTCCCTCCCTCCCCCACATCCCCCATCCCCTCCCATAGTGTTGCAATTTCAGATTTTGTTTTTTTTTTCTTTTTTGCTTTTACTCAATTACTGTCACTTCTAGGCTGTTTATTATTTTGTTTTTAAAATTTTTTGTCTTCTTTGTTTTTTGCTCCTTTGCCCTAGAAGGCAGAGGTCAAAGGTGGGAGTGTAGCATAAACTATAGGTTGGGTTTTGCAGTTAAACCATCTGGATTGGAATCCACTTATAGACTATCTAACCACGGGTGGTTGAGGGTAGGTTGCTTAACCTAGTGTCCCAGTTTTCTTAACTATAAAATGATAAGAATTATCTATTAGGGTTGTTGTAAGAATTAATTAATATAATCTGTGGAACATATTAATGCTCAATAAGAGTTAGCTTTTTTATTATTCTTAGTATGTATATTTTTAGCTATTTGAGAATTATTCTGTTTTCTTGCCTTTAGAATACATTAAACCATGTGATTTTAGACTCAGAACTGTCCAAGCTATCTGGGTAGGCAGATCTCGCAGTGTGAATTGACATGAACGTTTTAAAAGCAATTGTTCTGTGTACATGGATAATGCATGTTGATTGTAAAAACATTAGAAACACAGGAGGCTGTGAATTTTTAAAGTCTGTATTATATACGTATTGGTAGATTAGTTGTAATGGCCTCAAATTTCGTTATAGCCAGCAAGTCAAAGGATAGGCTTTGCTTCAAACGTGAGAGTCATGGACATATTACAAGGAACACATGATCTTTTTTGACTCAGTCATTGCCTCTGGCACGATCAGACCACAAGAAGTAAATTATGAAGGTGTGAGGACTGGCTAAATGCAACTGGGAACCCACCCGAGAGTCTGGACTCAAGTAAACAATTGTGAGCCAGGTAAATGGACAGTACACTTTTGGCTACTCTGAGGCATGAGAGTAAGGCCATCAAGATGGGAGTTGTCCCACTTTGAATCAGAGATCAGACACAGATAAGTGTAAAACTACAAATAGCAATAGGCCACAATGGATTACATCTTATGCTGGGAAAATGCCCTCAGCTGCACTCATACATGTGACCAGTAACTGATTATCCCCTCTCTGTGTAATCGACATTGCTTCCCAATAGTTTGAAAAAAGAGCAACAAAGTTCATAAATAATAGATTTAAGTTATATACTGGTATTACTTCTCCTGGAGTATTTGTTTTATTTGTCTGTATATTCCTTTGGTGCCTGCCAACACTTTGTACGTAATAAGCATTCAGTGGCTTATTATGTGAAAGTTCATACAGAGAAGGAGCAGGAGAGTCTGGAATTGCCTATTTGTTCTCAAGACAGGACCTTTGTTAAGCCTGATAAGCAGAATAAAAATAGGCCATTTATGTTAAAAACAAAATAAGTAAACTCAACCCCAAACCCAATGCTTTTTATCCTTTGCTGTCAGATAGTATTAAGTATCTATATTGTAAATAATTTATATCTCTTCGTACTTCAATTAAAATTACTGTCTCTTGGTTTTAAGAGCAGAGGTTAACAAGGTTAACGAGGATAGCTACTACAGAAAGTTTTCAATAAAGATTATTGTAGTGTTTTTACAGATGGAGCCAAGCAAGTTATTTCAGTGGGACTCTGATGTTAAATGGATTCAAATATACTAGATTAAATGATAAACCTGGAAGCGTAACTGTATAATTACATCACGACATTTTAGTTCTCTCCTTTAACAACATTATTATTAAAGGGATTCACAGTTTTTTCTTTATGACTCTTGTATATGAAGTAAATTTGTTTATAGAAATACGCTAAAGTACTTTCACATAGCAATCTGCTTATCATAGAAGATGATAAATACAGATTCCCTAAAACATAATCCTCCCACCCAAATTTATAATTATCAACTTTTTAGCATGAATCCTATCAGATTACTCATACACATATAATTATTTATTTTCTTATTTTTGAGATGGAATCTCACTCTGTCACCCAGGCTGGAGTGCAGTGGTGCAATCTCGGCTCACTGTAACCTCCCTCTCCTGGGTTCAAGCAATTCTCCTGCCTCAGTCTCCCAAGTAGCTGGGACTACAGGTGTGTACTGCTGTATTAGTCCATTCTCACACTGTTATAAGGACACTCCAGAGACTGGGTAATTTGTGAAGAAAAAGAGGTTTCATAGATTCACAGTTTCACGTGGCTGGGGAGGCCTCTCAATCATTGTGGAAGGCAAAGGAGAAGAAAAGTCATGTCTTACATGGCAGCAGGCAAGAGAGCTTGGGCTCCCCTTTATAAAACCATCAGACCGCATAAGACTTATTCACCACCACGAGAACGAAACAGGAAAAACCTGCCCCCATGATTCAGTTACCTCCCACTGGGTCCCTCCCATGGCACATGGGGATTATGGGAGCTACAATTCAAGACGAGATTTGGGTGGGGACACAGGCAAACCATATCAGCCACCCCAGCTAATTTTTGTATTTTTGGTAGAATGAGGTTTCACCATGTTGGCCAGGCTGGTTTTGAACTCCTGACCTCGAGTCATCCTCCCACCTTTGCCTTTCAAAGTGCTGGGATTATAGGTGTGAGCCACTGTGCCTGGCTGACATGTTTATTTATACAGATACATGTTTTTTTAAAGGAAATGGGACCATGTATGTTTTATAATGATCACATCCATTATTGAGAACATATTAACATGGTAATAGATCATTGTAGATGATTACTTAAAATAGGTATTAGGTTTATATGTTTGTCCATATAATTTGTTTTACTGATCTCTCATTCTTGGACATTCACGGTGTCTAAAATACATAAACAATGCAATAAACATCCATCTACATGAAGTTTTCTTATTTTAAGATTATATCCTTGGGCTATAAAAGGATTAGATGGTAATAACTTTGGGGAGGGGAAATATAGAACTGTGGCTTCAACTGAGAAATACAGTGTAAAGAGGAAAGAACTATACTATGGTTTTGGACTAAGCTTTGTATTTATGGGTATTGAACCTTGGGGAAATTAATTACTTTGAACCTCCAGTAGGTTATTTTGACCCTGAGGATATTCTGATGCCATTGTGTATTCAAGAATTTAACAGTAAAGTCTCGGAACAATGGTAAGCTTATAAATCATTAGGCAAACCCACATTAGGGTATATAGACTAGTGTGGAATTACTGTTATATTTAGTTTTTTCTTGGGTCTAAGTTTTTTATATATAAAAATGATGACCAATAGTTCTTCAGCCAACGTGATTTCTCCCCCTCAGGGGACATTTGGCAATGCCTGGATATTTCTTTTTGGTTGTCAGAACCAG